ACGTACACTTTGAAGTCGCCCTCTGAAATCGGAAGTGACTTGAACTGCAGCCGACTCACCCGGAAAGCCAGTTGCGCAATACCGGGCGCATTTATACACGAACTGCAAAACCTTCACAATTCAAATCATACAGTCTCAAACCCGATACATTTCTACACCACACAGCGCAATTTACATCTGGCTGACGCTCTTATCAGGCTTTCTACCCAGCCTTCAAGAATACTCACTGTACTATTTTCTATACCCGCGTCATAGACCCAGGGGTCGCCCATTAATACTGTGTGCTGCTACCTTGAGATCATCGAATGTAGCATCATTGTGGACAGGGAATAAAATCTAAAAGAATAACTAGAAAGGCCAATATTTGCTTTGGAGCAAATACAGCGATGGGTTCACCACATTTTACGACATGGCAGGGAAAGAATGGGAAACACAAGGGAAAACAATGATTTACATTGATATAACTATAATATGAAGTAAAATACAACTAAAACAACAGTTGGATAGCTATTCCCTACTTTATTGGTTAGGATTTTTAATTGCATAATGCAAACTGTTGATTTTCAAATAAAAAAAAAACGTCCATGCCCGGCATTCCAATGCTGGAGCAGGAAAGCTTGAAATACCTACCAAAACACTTGAATACAGACATACTGTCAGTATGGAAATGCTTCTGTGCAGGTGTTAATCAAGTTAAATCCCAACAGCCAATCAGCAAGAAGTATAGAGGAAAGCTGCATGCCTATTGGTTGATGCCCTGCATTCCATTCTGATGACTCATGCCCAAACGTGGTAAACAAGGCAGACTAACACAGTAATACATTTGCTATAACACAGCCAAAAAACTCAAATAAAACCATTCTAAAAGCCTGTATCACAATAATTTAAAAAACGCCTAGGGGTATTTGCCCACTGTACCTCCATACCAAATTTCAGGACCTTAGGCCCTAAAATGAAGAAGCTGAATCCATTTAAAGATATGGCAGGAGGAGGAGGAGGAGGAGAAGGAGAAGGAGAAGAAACATCAGAAAAAGCAATATGGTTTCACCACACCACTTCGTGGTGTGGTGAACCCATAAAAAGTGAATGAAAGAATAACAAAGACAACACACGTACATCAATCACATCACAAACAACGATGAATCATCTCATCCAATGTTAGTTCAATTATTTTAACGTTGAGGTACAACAGGAGATCTTCTCGATTTTCTGTTTTTGGTATGGGTATGCTTTACCTATCTACCAACAACAATTCATTATACTTTTTGGCATACTCTCCCCTAAACTTGTATAATTTGGGACTTTTTGACTGTGTTTTAGGTCACAATTTATACTATAGTTGGGGATGACTATCCATGAGTCATCTGTCTGGCATGCACATCAAGAACCAATAGGCATGCAGCTTTCGTCTATTCTTCTTGCTGATTGGCTGTTGTGATATAATTGGGTTAACTCCATGAACAGCTGCACATACCATATTGAAAGTAGGTACCGTAGGTACGTAGAAGTGTTTTCAATGGTAGGCACGCCGATATCAGTTGAAGAAAACAATATCTGAAACATCAAGCTTGAATATATTACTCCTAGTTCTGTCTTATCAACCACTAAAAATGTATTTTTCCGCTTGATAGAAATAATCATTTGAAACATCATGAACAGTGAAGACAGCTATTCTTTACGCAAAAATGTGGCCCATTATTCTTATTGTTATTATTGTAGTAGTAGTAGTAGTAGTAGTAGTACATGTAGTAGTAGTAGTAGTAAGTAGTAGTAGTAGTAGTAGTAGTAGTAGTAGTAGTAGTAGTAGTAGTATTTACGAAGTAGATTCCATAATGATGGCAACCTTTTTTTGCCAAATCGTTTTATTCGCACGCCCACATCAGTTTGGAGATTCCCCAGAGGACGTCCTCCGTATAATCAAATCAACACGACCTAGTTACCGCCAATCACAGCGCATCTAGATGCAGCTGTTTTCACGGATGAGCGGGCATGTGACCTACTTCCAGTATAGCCTCCTGTGCAGGCTCCGGGTGGGTATTTTGATACAGCGTTTTGAAGAGTTTTTAACGCGTTCTTTTAATAGCCGGTCATTCTACAACCAGCCGCGAGAGAAGGTTCTATGGAATGGAAAGAACGCATTAAAAACTCTTCAAAACGCTGTATCAAAATCTTCACTGACCCAGGAGCCTGCACAGGAGGCTACGTCCAGTAGTCCAGGACAAAGGACAGTCTCTGACCAGTTGACCCGCTGAGTGACTGAAGGGTTCAGAGGTTATATGCAGGAGGAATATTATTAGGGTGGAGGGTACGTTGGTTTTTCTGAACCACGCGAAAACGAGCACCAAGTGACCATGTCTAGCGATATATTTAGACGTTAAACAAGGACAACAACAACAAGGTTTTACCTGTTGTCCGTTGAGCTATCTACGGTTATGAGAATATAAGAGCGTGGCGTCATACCATGGACGAGACCAAACATTTGGTGGACTCCTGTGTAAAATACCAGGCCCAACCAGTGTTCACACAAAGGAAGGTATGTAATTTCACTATTCTTCTATAGTTTTGCTAATATTGATATGAATCTTTATTGCATGTTCTTGTCCAGATGGGCTAAATACACAAGAGGACATGCAGTATGCAAAACATGAGTATTGCATACTGGGACGTTATATTCTAATGCAAAGAGCTAAGGAATCTATACATTACAACAATACTATATACTACCTATCATCTACTGTTAGTTGCCCTTTTTTCTCTCTTTCTGAAACATATGGAAACATAATGACATAGTTTGTCTACTATACATTCGTTCTTGCATGACATCAAGTGTTTAAACATGTCCTGCTTATCATTTTGGCTGATGCAGAGAGATACTAGTAGTTCTTGACAATTCATTTCGTTGTTATGGATTCTATGATCTGTTGTGTGACGACTTGATTTCCATTGTTAAACTTTGGTCTGCTCTCTCATATCTTTTATCAATGACGTTATATTTGTAGAAGCTCCTTGCTTTTATAAATAATTAATAAATGAATAAATATAAGCTCCTTGCTTGTGCCTCCGAGTGGTCAAGCCAGTAGGGGTCAAATCATTTGTTTGCTCCGTGGGGCCCCATAGGGAGTCAACGCCTGATACACATGCATGCCTATCACTACCCTGAATGCCAAACTAGTATCGGGGTGTATCGGGCCGTTAGCCGTTTTCCTTCGGCAGCCAAGAACCCTTCGCCCGCCTATCTAAATTTACCGCCACGGGGGAGTTGAGCCCTAGGGCCGGACAAAACCCTCGGCGGGCGAAGGGTTCTTGGCTGCCAAAGAAAAACGTCTCACGGCCCGATACTAGTTTGGCATCACTGTATTACGAAAGTGATATTTCTAGCCTCCGGTGCACGCCTCCGAGGCTTTGCAGAATTGCTGATTATCCTTTTTGTTGACCATGGTACAGGCAACCGACTATCGTAGGACAAACCCGCCTCGAAGGTTGGTTGGTTGAACGATGGTCGGCGGAAGGACGTGTTAAGTACATCTGAAAGATAGAACGTGCGAATTCTGTAATCATTTATATGTTAAAAACGAGATACACTTTCTACTTGACTGTACATTATATAAAGATGAACGCCAAGAGCTATTCGATAGTTTACAATTAGACAAGATATGTAAGAAAATGTCAAAGCAGGACATGTTTAAACACTTGATATCATGCAAAAACGAATGTACAGTAGACAAACTATGTAATTATGTTTCCAAATGTTTCAAAAAGAGAGAAGACTTGAAGGGCAACTAACAGTAGATGATAGGTAGTATATAGTATTGTTGTAATGTATAAATTCTTAGCACTTTGCATTAGAATATAGCTTTCCAGTATGAAATACTCATGTTTTTGCATATTGGCTACCCTATTGTGCATATAGCTCATCTGAGCAAGAACATGCAATAAAGATTCATATCATATCATATCATATAAAATAAACTACGCATCCGCTGAGAGGCCTGCACAGGAGCATATAATTATAAACATCTCATTTCATCACAACTCACCATATTCATATATCGGCGAAAATGACCCATTGGATTGTTTCAAAAACAAAGGGGGGGGGGGTCTGCATTTGGATTACAAATCATATCAACTTTATTGCTCATCAACTGTAACTGGTACAACGTATGGCAAAGAAACAACAATGGTACATACATGAACTAATACTAAGATATAATTCTAACGAGCTTGTCCCCATAATGATACTAAAGCTAATCTTTTGTGTTTTCTTAGGAAGAGTATTATTACATTCTGTAATTCAGGGGATATATCGGCTATTTACAATATGGTGTCGCTTTTGTAGTGATTCAAATATGAATTTTCCAATCTACACTGACATCTGAGTAGGACATGAAAGGAGCATATTAAAGATATTTTGAGTGGGGTAGCGTTACATACATGGTGGGTAGGGAATTGACAAGAAATTAGGTCATGTTGACCTAATATATTACGTGGATGATATCCGCGCGCGCATGGATTACCGTCCGACTCCAAAAAAAAAAAAAACAAGTTTTCGACCATACTGTAAATCGCACAAAGCAGGTACAAAATGAGAAAATTTATGTCTGTCGTAAAAATAAAGTATTGGAAATATGGCCAAAATCAATTCCAAAGGACAAGAAGAAAATGAGAAGAAATGAAAATGAAGAGTCTGTTTTTCGTCATACCATATTCTGTGTGTTTACTCATTTGTCCAACCTTCATGACCACGTAGATTTCATAATGAAGACAACTTTTTTCCAAATATTTTTTTTGCACGCTCGCGTCAGTTTTTGTTGGTATTTCCTAGAAAATGTCATCCTTATAATCAAATCAAAATGGCCGTATAGAATGTTGGGTATATATAATTATGAAAGTTCTCTCATATAATGCTCTTTGTTGTCTATCCCTCCATAGGTCGACACGGTGGAAAGAAACACCTTCAAGATCACCCCAAAGCTGACCCCTAAGGCTCTACCTTAGTACATGTGTAGCTAGCTCTGAAGGTAGATGATGGTGAGATTTCTTCGTATAATGCGCACCTGGGACCACTTGATTTGCAAATGTGATACCAGTATTTGACTACAATCTTCAAGATGGCGCGGCGATGCTGTCTCTTCCGACGCCCCATGTGGGATGTGCTAGTCCTGTACATCGTGATGTTCTGTGTGGTTCTACCCCTTCTCTGTCACAGACTGAACTACTCCATCTACTACACACAGACCCTACACATGGGCAGGACAGACCCCTTCGCTTACGCCATGAAGGTAAACAACGACCGGAAAAAACTGGCGCAAACCGCCCTCCTCTCGCGAGCACCAGGCACGAATTTGTCTCACATCACGCTGAAGTCAGGCTCTAAGGTGAAGCTAGCTATCGGGTTTGTAGCGGTGAGCAGGCAAGTCAAGATGCGGGACGGAAGCACCTACAACCCGGGGTATCTCCTACAGTCTGTCGAAGCGATTCTACGAGAAAATCCGCCCAGGGAAACACGACTTGTCGTCTGTGACGTAGACTCCGACCCTACCTCCAATCCGGATGTTGCCTTTCTGTCATCGTTTGTCTCCGTTCGTTCAAAATATCTGAAAGGAAAAACAGCACCGCCATTAGCGTTGGGAAACACTTTTAAGAAGGAGAGGGAAGACTACATGTACTGTTTGAATCAAACGCTTTCTTTTGATCCAGATTTCGTACTTATCTTAGAGGACGACGCTCTGGCGACTCCTGGCGTATTAGATATTATCGACTACATTATTCGGACAAAAATTGAAAATACCTACAGAGGTTTTGGGATGGTAAAAAACAACTACACCAAAACATTCTTCAAGCTGTTCACTCCTACATATATGCAAAACGACTTCCATACTACAAAACCAAAACGTATATTTGTTCATATACTAGACCTGGTAGGAACAGGCATCGTAGGAGGAGCGTTTTTAACTTTTGTACACACAATATTTTTCAACAAAGTGCCCAAGAGATCCCACAGTACACTTTACTGCTTCTTTGTTGCCAGTGTGGTTTGCTGCATACTTGCAGCCCTGGCAACTTCCAGGGTACATCTTATGGAATGGAGGAGAATTTCTAAACACTTCTACGTCATGTTTGAGGCTGACAACTGTTGCACGCCTGCAATTTTGTACCGGAAGGACACTGCAGTGGACTTCTTGAAATACTTACAGACCACGAGGCATAACCCTTCTCCTATAGACGGAGATATGAACCATCTTGTAGTGAACCATGGTTACAAAAGATTTGCGGTGGAACCAAATCTGTTCTCACATATTGGAATGTACTCGTCCATACATAAAAAGATTAATAGAAACTTTTTTGCATGG